CATTTTATTTATTTATTTATTTTTATTTATTCTTTTATTTTATTTTTATCTCGAAATTTTATTGTTTATTCTATTTTCTTTCCCCTCCCCCCTTCCATATTATCTTTTTCTTGATTAGGTAGCCGCTATCCTCCCCTAACCACTTAAACTCCGGTTAGGGTTTTCTTAGGGTTTTTTTAGGGTTTAGGGTTCTTCTAAACCCCCTACTCTTCCGCCTCCTCCCGTCGGGCACCCTGGACCCGAACGGCTCCTCCCCCCTCGAGCGATTTGGCGCGTTCTTCTCACGCGCGACCCRCCAAATCCGGGGTGAGCCGACTCACACATACTCACTCCGCTCCCGCGGTCCCCTTCCTCTTATCGGCGGGCCCCTCTCCCCACACACCCCCGTGAGCTCTACCTCCCTTTCCCTTCCGACCATGGAAAGGAGTTCCTTTGAGGAGATCACCGCGGTGCCGTCCACCTCCCAGGTGAGCGTTCAGCCAGCGGGTCAGGGTCAGGCCCATGCGGACACGATGGACCTTCATGCCACCCTCGTAGCGATTCAGGCGCAACTTAGTACGCTTGGACCGTTGCAAGCGCAAATCAATGCGCTTGCCCTTGACATCAACCGCCTCAAGGGCTCTCCTCATCACTCTCCCCACCGCTCCCATACCCCATCCCCTACCGGCTCCGAGTCCGGCTCCCCACGACTCCAGAGTCGGACACATCGTGGTTCCCCCTCCTCTACGGGCCAGGCCCAACACTCCCCCGCAGTAGTGGCGAGTGCTGCTGCCGCTCAGACCACCCCGTCTGTTGCGGCAGTTCTCCCGGCCACGGCCGCCCCTACCGTCTCTACTACTGCCGTAGGTGCTGCGGTCCAGGAACCGCCTCGAGGCCCAGCAGTTTCATCGACCCACACCGGTGTTGCTTCCCAGCTTCCCGCACCGGTCGCGGCAATACGGCTCCGCCCTCTTCTTCCCGCCTTTGTCCCCCCACCCCCACAACAAGGTACCGCCCAGGCTGGGATTCCTCCTCCCACTGGGAGACCCGCTCCGCCCCCTCCACCTCCGACCCCGCGCACCTAGCGCGTGGCCACTTTACAGGCCACCATTGCGCAGGCTCAGGCGGAGATTCTCGCTCTGTGACAGCCTCACCCATCACAGGCTGCCCACCCTTCTTCCTCTACCACCCCTTCAGTCCCCATGATGCAGGCTCGTTTCCCTCGACCAGCTCCTCAGCCTTTTCCCTCCTACCTGGCTATTCCGAGACAGCTGCCCGCGGCTGTTGCCTCCTCGTCTGCTGGTCCATCCGCTAGCGGCCACGACCCACAGCCTTCCCCCACCTCTGCCCCTGCAGCGACCTCGACTTACGCCGCCGCAGTGCACTCGCCTCGATCTCTCTCCCCCCGCCATCAGCACAGTGGACATCCTCCTGTGCGCACCACGGACATTCCCGAATATGATGGCACAACCCGTGTCTCTCGCTGGTTGCAGATAGCAACGCACACACTCTCTATGACGACCACCCGTCAGGAGTTGTGGTGCGATGTGCTCGCAACCAAATTGCGAGGTAGCCCTTCCACTACGTGGGAGGATCATTATACCCAGCGCCTCCGCGTGGGTGAGGTCCCCACTCTGGCCGACTTCGCGGCCTTCCTTCAGGACCGTTTCGACGCTCGTCATGACGCCACCGACGCCTTAGACCGCGTCACCCAGACCAGATGGTCCAGGTCCTCTGTACCGGCCGACCTGGAACGTCCTATCCGGGTGTTTCAGGATGCTCGCCTTGTTTGTGACGAGACGTTCCTACCGGGGTCACACTCACCGACCGGTTCCTTGTCAGCCTGCCGACTGACTATCGCCTAGAGCTATGGAGGCGATCATTCTCTTCCGCGGAGCAGGCATACGAGGCTGCGCGTCAGTACCAGAGGATGTGCAGTCGCTTCTCCGTCGCCCCATCCTCTTCGCGGCCAGCCGCCACCTCTCAGTCTCGGGGTACCACCCGAGGTCGCTCCTCGTTTGCTGGTCGTTTTCGTCGCCCGACCCGCCCTGGAGCGTCATTCTCTCAACGCTACAGTTCTCTGGAGTACAGCAAGGACGCCTCGACCAAGTTTGACCCTACCCTTAGGGACGCCCCCGAGGACATCGAGCTACGAGACGTCATCCAGTATCACTTGGATGACGACACTGTTCCGGTGGCCGAGCGCTTGCTGATGGCCATGTCTGCCATGGGTCGTGCTCGTAGTCGGGTTGCACAGGCTGGCGCCTGCACACCCACGGTTCCTCAGATAGACCTCCCGCAGGGTTATGTCCCTCCTCGCGGAGCTCTATCCCCAGAGGAGCGTGCCGCCCTCGAGGCCCGGTGCGGCTGCCTTCGTTGCCGCCTAGATGGACACACCTCCTCACGGTGTCCATACCATACCGCCCTCGATCGGCACTACGCTGACATCTCTCGTCAGCGTCGATCTCAGTCCCCCCCGGCCCCGCCCGGCCAGCCCCATCCACCTAGCTACGGTGCACTGTGCCCCTGAGGCCTTGCACGTAGCCGGCTTTCCGACCACCGAGTCGTGGTTTGCCCCTTTGGCTACCCCACCAGAGGACCCTCAGGACACGATAGACGCAGTTCTCTCCGCCCCATCGTCTATCGAGGTACCGTCTGCCTCCCAGCAGACTGCCGCATCTAGCGCTTCTCGCTTGAGACTTCGGACGCGTCGCGCCATTCGCATAGCCCGTTGTGGCGCTCAGCTGGCGACTCGCGATGACATTGTGTCATCTCTCCTGGACTTGAGCATTCTGCAGGCTCGTCAGGAGCGCCTCACGAGACACATCAATGTCCTGCGTCGTCTTCTCGCCTTGCTCTCTGACCCTGATCGCACCCTACCCATCATCCCTATTCGCCTAGGGACATCTACGAGGGTGTACCGCGCTTTATGGGACTCTGGCTCACAGGGAGATTTCGTTCACCCTCGAGTGGTTGAGGAAGCTCGCCTAGCTACCTCTGGGTCTCGCTCTCCTATCTCCGTTACCCTCGGAGATAACAAGACGCAGCGCTTCTTTGATCAGACGGTCCCCGACCTCCACTTCTCCCTCACCCTCCAGCCACCGGATAGTACCCAGGCGCCTCGGCGCTACCATTCCTCCGCCTACTTCGACGTGCTAGAGACAAGGTACGACTTTATCCTTGGCACTCCCTGGTATCGCCGGTTCCGTAGCACAGAGGCCGAATGGGCGTTTGGAACACTCATTCTCAAAACGAAGTGTGGGCAAACCCATCGAGTCCCCTTCATTGGAACCACGGGCGACACCCCTCCAAACCTACCTCTCCAGGACCCTCGTCCTTCTGGGTCCCACCCAGACATCTCCTTCACTTCTCCCCGTCAGTTTGCTCACTTCATCCGACAGGCCCCCTGACCCTTCCTCCATCTTCGCGACTCCCATCTCTACATCCACCCCGCAGCCTGCGGATACCCCCTCGACATCCCAGGTTCCTACGCCGTCCACTGCCGAGTCCACCCATATGTCTCGTGCCGACACAGACGTTGAGGAACTCATGCGGTTCACGGCTGACTTAGAGCCCGTCATTCGCGACCTGATTCGGGAGTACCGCGACGTCTTCCCCCCGTATTTCTCATACAGCGGGATTCCCCCGATGCGCGGTGTCGAGCATTCCATCCAGCTCGTGCTTGACTATCGTGTTCACCATCAGGCACCATACCAACTCTCGATTCCTGAGGCGACGGAACTCAAGCGTCAGCTTGAGGAGCTCCTTCGACTTGGTTTCATTAAACCTAGTAACTCCCCTTGGGGTGCACCTGTCCTCTTTGCTCGCAAAGCGGACGAAACTCTCTGCCTCTGCATCGATTATTGCGGCCTTAACCGTTACACGGTTAAGAACAGCTATCCCATGCCCCGCGCGGATGAGCTGTTTGACCGTCTGGCAGGCAACCGCTTCTTCACGAAGATCGATCTTCGTAGCGGTTACCACCAGATCCGCGTTGCCGCAGAGGACCAGCCGAAGACCGCCTTTCGGTCGCGCTTCGGCCACTACGAGTTCACGGTGATGTCATTCGGCCTCACCAATGCACCCGCCACCTTCCAGACGGCGATGAACGACATCTTCAGGGACATCCTTGAAGAATACGTTCTCGTATACCTGGACGACATCTTGGTCTACAGTCGTACCTTAGAAGACCATATCAGACACCTCCGCGATGTCCTACAGCGCTTACGCAAGCATGGCTTCTATGCCAAGCTCAGTAAGTGCCGCTTTGCCCAACGCAAAGTGGACTTCCTAGGACACCATGTGTCTAACCAGGGTGTCCACAAGGACGACGCGAAGATCACTGCTATTGCAGAGTGGTCCGTCCCCACATCCGCCAATCAGCTTCGCAGCTTTCTAGGCCTCACCAGCTACTATAGTAATTTTATCCAAGGATACGCTAGGTATTCCTACGTCCTTACCTCCACCCTCCTCCGGAAGAACCCGCCGTGGTTTTGGACACCCCTCTGCGAGGACGCCTTCCGCGCCCTCAAGAAGGCAGTGACTTGCGCGCCGGTTCTTCGCCTTCCCGATTTTGATCGTCCCTTTATCGTCACCACCGATGCGTCAGATTTTGCAGTAGGAGTTGTCCTTTCTCAGGTGTTTCCCTCTCCTCCAGATTCACCTTACCCTAATTTTCCTCCTTCCCCCCCCCCTCCTGCTGACACTGCTTCTCGATTGATGCCTATCCTACCACCACTTCCCTCCACTGACAGTCCTCCCATTACTTACTCCCCGACCATCGCGGAGGATGGGACGGTCGAGGCTCGTGCTGGGGATTGCCCGATCGCTTTCTACTCCCGTCAGCTACTACCTGCCGAGATTCGCAGTAGTTTATGCTACCCGGCATTGGCGTCATTATCTGCACGGGGCGCCCTTCACGGTGCGCACGGACAACTCAGTTGTCCAGGCTTTCCTCGCGAAGCCTAAGCTTTCCCCTCGACAGGCACGCTGGTGCCGTGACTTATCCGAGTTCAGTTTCACCACTCAGCCCATCAAGGGTGAAACGAACCGCGTCGCCGATGCCTTGTCCCGCCGTCCTGATCACAATCAGGAACCCATCCATCTTGCTGTCATCTCCATCACCAGTGTTGATCAGTCGGTGATCGACGCGTATCGCACTCAGTACCGCCACTGCCCCGATTATCGCGTTATCCACGCGACACTGCGGAGTGGCAAGACCGTTCCTTCCTATTCCCTCGAGGAGAACAGCCTCGTGTACTGACATGGCAGATCTGGTCAGCTAGAACCACGTATCTGCGTTCCCTCCACTGGACCGCTCCGCGTCCAGGCTGTAGCAGAGTTCCATGACCAGGCAGCTGCCGGTCATATGGGTTTCCACAAGACGTTGGCTCGTGTTTGCCGCCTATACGTCTGGCCGAAGTCCAAGGACTTTGTCAAAGCCAACATCCAGGAGTGTCCTACCTGCCAGGAGGTGAACAGTGTGAACCACCTTCCGTATGGGTTACTTCAGCCCCTACCCATACCTGAAGGTCGTTGGCAGTCTATCTCGATGGATTTCATTGGTCCCCTCCGCCCACCCACTCAGCGCGGTCATGATGCTATCTTGGTCGTCGTCGATCGCTTCACGAAGCGTGCACGTTTTGTTCCGTGCCGCTATCGCATTAGCGCTCGTGAGGTCGCCGACATCGTCTTCGACCGAGTCGTGAGAGATCACGGCTTATCTTAGAGCATCATCTCCGACCGTGACCCGCGCTTTACCAGCACATTCTGGCGACCCCTACACGAGGTGTACGGATCCCAGCTCCGCTTCTCATCGTCTTACCACCCTCAGACGGATGGTCAGACTGAGGTCACCAACAGAACTCTCGGTAATATCCTCTGAAAGTTTGTTAGGGATGACCAGCAGTGGGACTTACACTTAGCCCACGCGGAGATTGCGTACAACCACGCTGTTTCGCGAGCCACGGGGATGTCGTCATTCTATTGCGACCTCGGCTACCACCCTCGCGTACCTGCGGATTTCCTACGACCATCGCGGTTGC